GAAAATGGTAGGACCAGTCAAGGTTCTTCATAACCGGTTATGGGCCGTCAGTCCCGGCATTAAAAAATAAGATTTTTAAAAAAAAAAATTAATGATATATATTTTTAATACATTATAAAATATACAATCAGGTCACTCAAATACACTTTAAAATTACATTGTCTTATAAAAATACATTATAAAATTATTTGAATTTTCGGGCCGGGCCGGACCAATTTGGCCATCACTACTACCAAGTACCAACTGTAACAATATCATAATACAATTAACTATAACAATACATAATCATTTTATGACATATGCATTTTAGTTCAAAAATGTTATAAGAAAACTCACCTCGATCATGATATACGATGTTACAAACTTTAACCGAAATGTAAATTCTAAGCTGAACACCTAATTTGGATAAGGTAAGTGTTTTGGTAAATCTCAACTGACGAAAATATTTCCTTCGACCATGCCATCTGTAACCAAGATTTGTAAGACGAACGACCGTGCTATATGTGATCATGGTTATCCATCACCATTAAGCCTTTGACCCTTGGTCGAGGATAATCTATCTTCAACCCCCGTTCGATGATTATATATCCACGATCGGAGTTTTCTTCGACAAGATATACTAACAACGGAAGTTATTACATATTTATCATCACAATCATCATGTATGGTTTTTAATATAGGAATAAAGACAACTGCGACCATTAGCCATAGAAGATTATAACGAAAGACCAAGATCCAAAACATTCAATAGTAATGGTTTTGTTTATTAAATAACATTTAAAGTCAACCATTGGCACAATCTTACGAATCAACTATAAAAAGACCAGGAATATCACAAAAAAAAAACACCCCGAGAGCATCATAATCTACGCACACGCAAAGCTCACTAACAAGAAGCAACTATTGTTTTTTGTTATTTTCCACAACCGGCATGTTAAATTGCTTACATGTTTTAATTGTTCTCAAGGACGACATCACTGTCCATAGTGCATCGACGATCACCTGTATCGTTTGCGGTTTTTATCCTTTGTTTAAGGGTTTTTTCGTGTCACCAATTCCTTTATCTCATTTATCTTCTTGTGTTTATTTCAAGGTGGTTGATCTTTAATTGTAAAAGCTCCACAAATAAACCGTAAAATATATTTGGCGTAGTTCTTGGCATAAAAATTTGGCATCCATCATGGGACCCCACTTAGAGATCATCTTTGAAATAAATATTAGTTACTTATGGTCTCCTTTGTAAGACAATTTGTTTCCCGGGATGACAAGCTCTGGAATTGATCAGTTCGCTAAAAAGCAAGCCGAGTTGACTGCTTCAAGATAAGAAATAGCTCGATTAACCGCGACAATGGATGCTCCTAACTCATCTATGATGAGACCTCCCGCTACAGTTCCCTTCCGCATGTCGTCGTATACTGAGTTTCCTTTCCAAGAATCAGTATCCTGCAACGATAGTGTCGACCACTAGATTACCTCCTGCACCACCAACGATTCCGTTCATGACCTTTTTTCCACGACTCTCGACACGACGACACCTATAAAATTTTCATCGGTGCCAACGCCACCTATTCCCACTATAAATTTATCAACTACTCTCATCAATGGTGAAGCTGAATCATCTCATTATCAAGGCACATATGCTACTGTAGGCCTCACCTCCCAGAGTTAAGGAGTTGCACCATCTTTTGTGCCTATCTTTCCGTAAAGTCCTAACCTAACCTTTGACAACCCGCTTACTCGACGACTAAGGTTGCTTGAATAGCAAAATGAAAAAGCGTTATCCTTGTTATCTAAGCTACCTAGAGCAGCAGTGCCTATCGATCTTGATCCTCTTACTGGCTTTCAAGCTTCTCCATCTGTTGACCATATCCCTCTGGTCGACATCTGGAAGAAATACAACATCCTTGTTTTCAATTCCAAAATTCCGGCATTTCGGATCCTAATAAGCACGTCGCAGTATAGACAATTGATGTGGATAACTTCCCTCCCTCAGCGCTATCAAGAAGTATGCATGTGTAAGAGCTTCAGAGCAACTCTCACCGGTGTAGCTATCCAATGGATATTCAATCTCAAGCCAAAGACGTTAGCTCCTTTGCGGACATAGTTAATCAATTCTTCCAACAATACACCAGTAGTCGCAAAATGAAGAAACAGACCAGTGACTTGTACTACGTTACACAAAAACCTGGTGAATTATGAGGAATTATTTCAACCTGTTTAATTCATAAATGATTAATGTTAAAAACTGTGACATTCGAACAATGATAGAAGCCTACAAGGGGGGGGGGGGGGTTGGACGACAACTCAAAATTGTACTTGGACTTGACCAAGTGCCTAGCAGAAACCTGCAAAGATGTTAGGGCCATAACGTTGGCTCACATGCGATTGGAAGACGATGTTGTCTTTCGACGGAAGCATTTCCACGACAAACGACGCTTAATGTTCGTAAGCTACGATTGAAGTCAAGGAACATTCAGAAATCAGATCAATTACGCCATATTTCAAATATACGATTTGATAAAAAGCAGGATGTCTCAACATATTCTAAGGGATAACAACACCCTAAAATATCTAAATATGGGTTTAAAGGGACCCATACAGATCTTATCGAGGCACCAAAGAATGTACAATCCACAATAAGTAGGCCAAAGAAAACAATAAGCCCAACAATTCAAAAGATAAATCCAAGTGGTGTGACTTCCATGAAGATCACAGACATACCGCTGATGATTGTATAACATTATGAAGGAAAATATCCTGGATAATTCCTAAAGGATGTCTGCAAGATCTAATATCCAAAGACGTTGTAAATAACAGCACTCTCCTTTCTTCCTCGTTAAGACAAAGGTAATATGTATAACTGGTGGATTTGATATTCATGGATTAACATATTCTGTAGTCAAACGTTAGTCAAGCACCAGACAAATCAACCTTTTATAAGATAAACACGTGCAGAAATGAAATAGATCTAGACACAATGACCATCTTAATCTTTAAGGTTGGTGCTCATATCATGTTATTTGGTTTTTTCTGAATTGCATAGATTTGTGGTAAGGATTTTTATGGGAATCAATATTATATTGCTTTTTGGACTTTAAATACTTTAATATCAAAGATTCTAACTCCAATGGCCTGGAATTGAGGCAACAACCTGTTCTAACGTATGAAATGTTCATCTCTTTAGATGTGATCATGGTGTTTTTGAGTTCCTTCCGACGGTTTGGAATGTGAAACATCAACTATTGTTCCCCAAAGCTGGCATGGTAATATATTTAGTTGTTATACATGATTCATCTAATATTCATGATTATCAACTAATAAACTGTGCTATCTGGTAGTACAAATTATTAACAATTGGGAGTTCATATCTTATATTCTTGAATGTTCACTAAATTTACAGTTACCTACATGTGAAAAGGTTAACCTTTCAAGACTCTTATTTTGATTTTTATCTGAAAAGATTATGTTAAATTGATGAGTTTTGGGTTGTTTTTGTTGTGATCAGGCGACTAGATGCAGTGTAAACTGTCATTGAGGGTAAACCTGCATCATTACCGATATTATATTCATATTCATATTTATATTTAACTTGTGATATTATATTCATTTTCATTTTTACATGAGTGGTATGTAAGTGAAGAAGTAGTATGAAGTATGATAGATACCCTTTATTTAGAACAACTTGGGGCAGGATCTTCTTTTCGTTTTCGCATTATTACCGATACCATTTTTCATAAAAATATATTCATTCAAGAAGGGCTCAAATCTTTCCATTTTCCAAGTCGATCCAATCCATTCGGGAGGGGAACAACAACTGGAAACGACTGCTAATACCCTATAGACTGAGGAGCACGTGTCAAGCCCATGCGAAGGGTTTGGTTAAGATGGAAACACCACGACAGACTTGCATGTGTTAAGAATGCTGTCAAAAAGAATCCTTTTCGTGACATAGTTTTAAATTCCTATAACATAATATATAAAATAATATATTTTAGACAACATGATTACACAAAATATATTGAAATGAAGTTTTGATGATATAACGATCAAATAAAGTCTTCATAATTTTAAAATCAATAAAATATTAATAACAACCGCGATAAAAAGTAATTCGTCGATGAAATAAACATTTGTTACTGCATGGCTTAGATGAAAATACAAGAGAGATATAATCGGACTCCATGACATGATACGATAAAACAAGAGAGATGAAAATACTGTATGTATTAGTTTTTATATGATATATTAATTATATGTAAACATAAGTTTTTAGAGTAAATTACACTGGTATTACTATTTTTAGATTAATACTTTGAATGTTTAAGTTTTTGGAGTAAATTATATAATATATTAATTATATATAAATAATGTTTAAGTTGGTATTACTAATTTTCCGTTAACACTTTGAATGTTTTGAGTTTTAATCTTACATTAATCAATTTTTTTTCTAAAATTTAATAGTCTAAAAACGAATCATTTGGATTTATAAAGTTTTACAATATTATAGCATCTCCAACATATTCTCCAAGAAGAATTAAAACTCTAATAAAATATTATTTATCTCTCATAAACCATTAATATCAAGGATTTCTATCGGTGTGAATATGATAAAAAAAATGTTTTTCTCTCATTATAATCATTTTTGGTTTACACTCTATCATGTTTTCTCCATTTTGAAGAGTTTTGGAGAGGCTGTTGCAACAAAAATATGCCTAAAATCTTTATTTTCTCAATTTTGAAAAATATATTAAAGATGCTCTTAATTCGCCCCCGGACTACAACAGTCGTATTCCGGCCCTGCCTCATGATTGTTTATGTAGTTGAATTTTATTATGCATAAATCATATTATCGTTAAAATCTTCTCTAACAAAATAATTAAAATTTCAAAATCATTTACGTTTATCCGCCCTGTTGCATTAAACGGATAGACAACTAGCAGATAATATATATTTATTACTTTTATATATCAAAATAAACTTGGAAGAGTCGGATAAAAATTAGGATTTTTGTTGCTATATCATATCATCAACGAACCTTCATTTGTCTGTTTCTACCTGAAAATCGATAGTATTATTGCTAATATGTAAATAATAACATAAAATTAGAAAGAGGGTTTACGGCAACCCGAAGAAATCGGAGGAAAGAAGGTGAAAGTAGACTCCGATCAAATCCTTTCCAGATCATCAGTCGGGCGTTTTTTTTTCAATCCAGGAGGTATCTTCTGTGAATTCGTTCTCGATCTTTATATACTTCGTATGTTTATACAAATTTCTGTAGTTCTTTTTATATCGACTTGACCAATTCCAGTTTGAGTATATGATTCTTTAAGGTGATCTAAAACGTTTCCTAGATATGCTCACTTCATTTTGGCCTTTTAGGTTTACTTTGTTCATCTTGTTTGTGCAATTTATGGGAGTTTAAATTTCGTTTTGTAACAGCTTTTGGTTAGATCAATTTCTGCGACCTTCGTTCGTATGCATTCTTTATTGTGAATGGATTATTTTAGTTTAAAGTATGTAGGAATTACGTATAATTACCAAAACAAAGGTTACGTTTTCGTATGCGTTCTTTCAACTGCCCTGCTGCTTGTTGCTAGTTGTTGTAACAATATAACTTGCTTATGATATGGGGTTCAAAAATGCATTCATTAATGTTGCCGTTGAACTCACCAGTTTGTTCTTTGAAAGAAGTGGAATCAGAGGAGAGAGAGAGAGAGAGAGAGAGAGAGAGAGAGAGAGAGAGAGATAATGTTTTAATACATTACATACTTAGATACGCAAAAGAGTCAGAGACTTATTTTGATGTATCTTTTTGGTGACCATAGGATATGATAATCGCCACAACTGGGCATAGATGTTTCATTGTATAAATGCTGGATTTTTAATCTTCCGAGCTAAGATAGAAGAATTCACTAGTATCTCACCTGGGTATCAGTAATGCATGGAGCAACTAAGGGTGTGTTTGGTTCAGACAAGAGAATGAAAATGAAAATGAAAATGAAAATGAAAATTATATGGAATGGGAATGAGAATGAATTTTCATTCCCCACACTTTAAACAGGAATAAAAACTCGGGCTTGTGGGAGAATGAATCCATTATATTATATAAAATCAAACACTTTCTTTTATATTCATTCACATTAATGACTGTTTAATACCTCCAACCAAACATCCCCTAAATTACTAATCGGGTCTATGACAGATGATAGTTGGTGGTGATGGCTCTGCATTGCTCACTAGTTGTGTCAATAAACTTTGGGTCGGTAACCTGGGGTACCCACTAATGGCACATGGTTGCAGCCTACTTCCTGAGAAGGGTGGCACATCTGCTTGCATATCACTTCTCTTCAGGATTATGTTAGTGTGCTCTTTAAGTTGGAAGTGCTTGTGAATGCTTTGTGTTACCTCCATTAAAAAATGTCAGCCATTTCAAGTTTTGACACACTAATCTTGAAATGCAATTATCATAGTTTATATGTAACTTTTAACATTTTTATTCTTACTTAACCTTCAAGGTTATGAAAGCTTTGAACTTCCTTCATAAAGAGAGCATATGCGGCGATATTCTGAGGAATGCATTATCTGATTGGTTGAAATAGGCTAACTGACTAACATTTTGAAAGAGTTAAAGAAATCTTAAGTGACTACTGACTAGCGTATTGGAACTGAGGAGGTATTTGGTTGGGTAGCAAATAGCAATAGCATAAATGTGGTAGTTGTTTGATCAGACCTTTTTTAAGATGATGAACCTGCATGTTAGATGGTAGATGATATATATACAAATTTAGAAGGCTTTGCACTTAATAACATGGCAATGCAGACAAGTTGTGCCATGTGCAAGCACTTTCATTATGGGAATATAAAGCAATATAGGGCTTGGAGGTTAACTTTCTGGATGAATGAGGGATACGTTCTAAATTCAGCAAACCATCTGATTACCTCAAATGATATTACATCAGATGTTGTTTCAAGAGCTACATTTAGGCAATAATATCTGAAACCAAAGTTATTGCTTTAGGCAAAGGCTGAATCACCCTCTTTTTGGAAGTATATGGGCTATGCCGGTTTCTGAGAAAGTTACAAGGGAGAAATCTCCCATTTGAGTTGTTCTATATATGAAGAGGTATCCAGCCATGAAGATATTGACATTGATTCAGAAAATATATGCTGACAGCAACTGTTTTACTTACAAAAATAACTTAAAGGAAGGATATAGTCAATGCAAGGGATGTTCACTGTCACCCTTTGTGGTCATGCAGGTTGAGAAAAAGACTTGAAATAGATAAATGAAAATAGCCATGTTCTAGTTTGCAATTATCAAGTACATAGTTCATGGTAAACATTCAATTTTAGATCGAATAACGTAATCCTTAGCCTAGTTCTGCAACTTGGCCCCAAGCATGGCAGACAATCTACTTAGGCAACTACAGTATTCCCTTGTATGCAATGCAACTCAAGAATACATGAATCAAGAGTGACGAGGGACTCTTTAAGTAAACTGAATCAACTATGTGACTGCCTTTGGGAGGCATGTTCGCATACAAAGTGCACAAAAGTTTTTTGTTTTGGGTATGAGATCATATTTAAAATTTTTGAGGGTGCCATGGAGTTCTATGATAAATTTGTATATAACTTTTTTTTTTAATTTTATATTGGTAGTGGATGAATCATACACTTGAAATATTATATTGGCTGTTTCCTAAGCTGTAAGAAGTTAGTGATTCTTCTTAATAAGTTGCATTTTCCTTCTGGAGTGATGCTGTCCTATTACTCTTTTTTCTAGGTTAATATACAGTTTCTAACTATTTGCTCACTTCTGCTGAATTTTATAAAACTCACCGGGGTTGTAAACTTTTAGATCTTGATGTGCATGCCATTTTTTATTGATCATACATAGATATAATGCAGGAAATAGTGTGAACAAAGTACAAACGAAGATTGACCGCAGATCTTTGCGACTGAACTTTGGTGATCCACAAGCTACATTAAGTTCTTCGTAGATGTGGCCTTTACATATCCTCTTTGACAAACTACTGAATGGAGGATCTAACGTTCCTGAAGAGATTGATGATATGAGTTTGGTTGAATCATACAATTTCAAATCATTATTGAAAAATGAACAAGGCAAGAAAGAAGTTTTGGGCCGGTCACACTTCATTGATGTAGGTCCTTTTACTCGTATTCATTTTTCTATATTAGTGGGTTAAACATTAACTCCATATGGGTATCAAAAACATTCTAGCCCTTTGAATATAATGATTACCTTCCTGGCAATATTCAGTTCTTTTTTTCTGGCTGTCTTGTAGATCAAACCCCCCACAAAAAGATAATAATAATTGAGCTGTATATGTGGTATAGGTCCCGCATATAAAACAAGAACGCACGTGGGACTGTGGCCTTGCTTGCGTTTTGATGGTTTTGAGAACCCTTTCCATCAAGTATTATGATATCAAAGATCTGGAGGAGTTTTGCTGCACAACTAGGTATTCTTCTTAAGAAGTTTGAATCTCTATGCTACTGCTTATTGTAGCAGGGTTATTACGTCGAGGTTCTAGCCAAATTAAGAGTATATAACACCTATTTTAGCTAGTGCAAGACTGCAAGTATATATTATCTGATCTAAAGTACGTAATTGTTTCTAGATACTATGTTAATGTAGTTTACAGTTTAGTTTTGGAGATTTAGTTTGTTATTTTTAATGACCAATGTGGACTACTGCCATTGAGTTTCAAGTATGACTGTTAATCATCAATAGTTTAACCTTAATTTCCAATAGAATATTTACTGTCCTCTTATTTCGCAGTATTTGGACCGTGGATCTGGCATATTTACTGCAGAAACTTTCTATTAGCTTCTCTTACATCACTGTAACTTTAGGCGCTAATCCTACTTTTTCGTTGGAGACATTTTATGAGGTAAGTTCTTGTTTTCTAAACAGAGCTGGATGTCTGAATCTTCTTTGAGTCATGAATGAACTTATTAGCGTTTTTTTCCTTCTTTTCTGTGTGTGAATTTTAAATGCTAAAAGTTGAAAACTTGCTTTTATGCCTGCAATTAGGCATTCCATTTTGCTACTTTTGGAAGTCATGTTACAGGATCACAGGAACGTTATCAGCTTATCAGAAATGTAACGAATTTGCAGGGTGCATATCCAATGTGCTAGTGTTCTATTCAAGTACATGTTCGCCATGACTTTATATGCTAGCGTCTTATCTTTTACAAATATTCCAAAATAATCTTGCAGAAGCAACTGGCTGATGATATAGAAAGAGTAAATATGCTATTTCGGGGATCACAGGAAGCCGGAATAAATATAGAGGTATGGGCTATGAACTTCCATATGTTTGCCTCTACATTTTTATGTTGATAACATGTCCCGAGATCATCAACTTTCGAGCTCCACAGACTAATTTTGTCTTACTTGGGTGATTGGGTTCTAAAATTTATTGCATCTAGTTACTAATCTTTATGAAATCACAATAGAAACTTGTTAGGTTTCTTGTTGGCTCCGACAGTAAACTTCTTCAGATTAGTGAGTTTTGTCTTCTTGTAGTCCATCAAAGGGGGAGAGTTCTAACTTGATGCTGGTACGAGATACATGGATATTAGATTTCGAGATTCTAGAAGATTAAGAATATGGATGATCATTCATATAGTCATGTATGTGTTTGTGTATATTTACAAGTCTAAGACCAAACCAAGAAAGGAATTAAATATATAAAATAGAAATATTCTTAAGCTTAAGTCTTATTCTACTTTTACATGATGTGTCGATAAGAACTATCAGGACAAAAGAATTTGTTGCGTTGTGTTGCCTGCCTCCTCTGACCTCTCTCACAGCCTCACAGGCATAAGACTTAACTTCTACCTCAGATTGTTAGCCTCAACAGTACACCCTGCTGTACCCATGATACAAGCTTTGCAAGGCGACCTGATTTACTGCATGCGCACAAGTGCTTACAAAGAAAAATTAACAATATGATGACATACACATGTACATGTGCATTTTCAGCTCTTAAAGATCTCATTTTTCAAGTACACTTGGGGAAAATTTTGAAATCCATGCACTTCAGTTATCAATCACCAAAGTCTTCTTTTTTCTTTCAAAATGATCTTGTGCAAGATATGAATCATATTCTTGATTACTAAATATCTAAATTTAGTTAGTTGCTTGAGACAAGGAAATGAATTTCAAAATGCTAACAGTGCAGATCGATCAAGGGAGATGAAATTGCCTTTCTGATCCTGTCAGGAAAGTATATTGTGATCGCTTTAGTTGACCAGTATATTTTGAGGTATTACTAACTGTATATTGTTGTTTTTTCACCAATATCTGCAAAAATCAGCCTAACAAGCTCTGTTTTTGCATCCACTTAGTGATGAACTTAATTTATATTTTATTTCATTTTCCTCCTATTCTGTAGTCGGCCATGGACAGAGAATGTTTATGCATCAGATTTCTATAGTGATTCCTCAGGTTATACTGGTGAGTAGAATACTTGAAAAAATGTGAGTTTTCATTTATTATTTACTTGAAAAGTGGAAGAAACTTCTGACAAGAGTTTGATAAAAATTCTTGATTTTTCAGGCTTTTTGATTAGAGTTTGAACTTGTAGGAATGCAAAGTTTATTACTATTAACCATGTTGACGACTTCTGTAGGTCACTATATTGTGATCTGTGGCTATGATGCTCATACAGACGAATTCGAGATCCGAGATCCAGCCAGCTCTAGGTATTTTCCAATTTCCCAACTCTACTTGTATACATTCTTAGCCGTTTGATGTCCTATTTACATGTGTTATGGTAAATATTACAGAAACCAAGTAAAATAAATATAGACAACAGAACATAAGATTCACACTTGAGGGAAAATGCCATTTTGGGGGGGGGGGGGGATTTGAAAAATCCACAGGTCACAAAGATTGAGAGAAAAGTCACACTAATCCCAGCGGAGAAAACTACGCCAGAAAGATTGAATGAAAGAAAAGTTAAAAGAGGTCTTTGAAACAATATAACTTGCACAAATTTAGGGAAAATCAAAAAATGTTTGACCCTTGTACTGTTGACTAAAATATGTGTTCACTTTACCGCTAAATTTATTTTGCAACTGTCGCAAATGTTCTTATTACCTATTTTAGTAACTTCCTATCAAGTGGCACTATTTTCTTGTTAAAAACTAATATTTCGTTGTACTAGTATATTCACCCTTTGAAAATAACGACAACATCATTAAGGGTAAACTGGCTAAATAATTTTCTTTTTGGCTAGGAAATAGGATTGATGAGCAAAAATGCTCGAAACATATGGAGTGGTCAAAGAAGTGATTTATATATTACAATGGGCAAAATTATTTTACTTATGATGTGGGGGTCAAACAAATAGTTTATCCTACAAGAATACATAGTAGATGGGATGAAAGTTGTCCTACACCATTGTTCTTCCTTTCAACCAACCTTGAACACATGAGCCGGGGTAAAGTTGTACCACTCTGTTACCTACACTATACCTCCTTTCCCTCTCATTATGGTAATTGAACAATATGTTTGTGCAAATGAATACCACCAAGTGCGAGATTTTGGGATGGTTTCTTCTCATTTAGGTCCTTCATTCCATAAAAATTACAACTGTTAATCATTTTGTAATGTCCGATGGAAATCTCAAGCATTCTCTTTTGGAGAATGTTCAAGGCAGAGGTACTTATTTCCGCATCATCATTGTTTATTAGTGCTAGTGATTTTAATTTACATGATTATTTTGCATCGTCGTTAACTGGATGAAGCCTTTTAAGATGTTTAAAAAAAAAAGCAATCGCTTACATAAATCTATGCCTTAGTTGATCAAACATTACAATTGTCCTCATAAGAAGTACAACTTTTCTTGATCTCCAATTTGAGCCATGCAGCAAGTGTTATTGTATTCCTATTTCATCAGCTTTTGAAACTGTAAAAACAGGAGTCAAGAGACAATCTCGTCAAGATGCTTGGAAAAGGCTCGCAAATCCTTTGGCACAGATGAAGATATCCTCTTGGTAATAACATGTCCTATCATTTCAATGTACATTAATGATAATATCTGAGCAAAACCATTAAACTTGTAACTGAAGTTTTGTTCTGGTTTCAAGTTCCAGAACCAAGTATTCCATGTCGTGAATTGATAACACACTTTAATAGGTTAATCTCATATCTATGAGACAAGACCACCTTCTGGGATCAGGGTTTCTAGTTCTTTCTTCATTTCCAAGTGAACAAATGAAAATACCACTTAGCCAAATAGCTTCGTTCTAATTGGGTTGGATTGTAATTGCAGATACATCTGTAGAGATCGCAGACAGACTCCAATGAATAGTGTTTCAGCAATCATCAGCCCAATGGATTCTTTGTGCACGATTACAGACACTTTAATTCTTGTTTTATACATCCGTGTCGTGTTTGACAAGAACTTGACGATGTTGTTAATCATTGTGTGTTGTAGAGTAAGTACAACGTTAGTTCATGATCGTCTTAGAAGGTTGATTCATGGTTAAACAGGTATTTGAAAGCATAATAATGGATATAATCAAAGGTTATATCCTGGTTTGAGCATCGAGTTTGTTTTGGTATCTTGGAACCACGGCATTGGTTTTCATTAAATAATGCATGCATCTGACTAAACACTTCCTTTTTGGGATGCATCTGATGTTACAATGTAGCCTCAGTTTCTTATGGGAAGGGAGGTCCTTTTGATTTGAATAAGCTTAGGCATTGTTTAGAATGGCATAGATGAAACATTGCTCCCATGTGGTTAATGTTTCGAGTCCACTCGAGTTATTGGAGGTTTCTTTGACCTGGACACCTGCGGTTATCCAAATACCACTGTTGCGGGTTTTAGTGTAATAAAGGTGAATGAAACACTTGGGGTTGTTTATTGTGTGCTTAATTGTCTCCTACTGAACCTGCAAAATATGTTGTTTCTGTGCACCTTTGATGGAGGTGCTGATACCCAAGTTGTTGGTTTTTCTAGTTTAATACAAAATACTTGGTAAAGAACCATTTTCTGTCTATGCTTATCTGGACTTAATTTCTTGTCCAAATCACACTTTTACTGAGTTATCGTTTACATAATCGTGGTGTAACGTATATCCTCTCCTGTTCCGGTCATGGAATAGATGAAATAAATCAAAAAATGGATTTTTGTTGAAGAATGAAATCTTGTTGGAACTATCCATCTCCTGTTCATCCTTCGGAACCATATCACATCCCGAATCTGATGAAATAGGATGAATTGAGACGGTATTTTGTAAATACGTAATTATCTTGAATAGATTAACCATTTCTTTATTTTCCGATTGCCTGAGAAAAGAAAGATGTTGTTTCTTTAACAATTTTCGATCTCTAGTGGACCTCTCAGTAAGATTCGAACCCAGATGAAGTTCTGACCATCTGTCAAAGAAAAAAGAACGAACGGATCTTGTAGGATTCCCAAGAAATTCTTCGATTTCTTCCGGAATCATCTGCTTCTCACGTTTCGTGAATAGCCGTGACATTGAGAAATATCCAGAAAGGCATTTCGGGAATCAGTTTGATTCTATCTCTGTTCCTTCCGTTTGAAGAAAGGAATTAATCCCAAAGAATCGATCTTTCTTTTAGTTGTTGAATCTCTCTTTGATTGATCAATGTGTGATATTTCGAATCCTCATAACTAATGGAATCAAAATGATCTCTGGATTGATCAAAAGATCCTTTCAATTGGCTAGAATCTCTTGTTTGAACGAAACTAGATCTTGTGGAATCATATTGAATATCTAATGATACCTTACGAAAAAATCGATCCTTATTTACCAACCACACATTGTCTAACCAAATCAAATTCGTAGGTTTATAAATGGCCCTAAATTGTGAAAGTGGAAGAGAAGCATAGGAATATGGGGGTCCCCATTTTAGAGGATGCAAAAGAAGACTTGTTAATTGCACGCCAAGAGGGGAAAAAAAGTTTGTACCGAAGACCATTAGAATACCGGAAAGCTTGTCCTTGATGATGTAGAGTTTCAACTAATTAAAACATGTATTGTTTGATTTATGAAAAAGAGTGATAATAATACAAATATATTTGATGGGTAATATAATACAGGAAAATTGGCCAACATAGTTATTTCTCACTATTAAGGGATCGTTTACTAACACAAATTGAGTAAGCGTTAACCGTGTTGGCTGGTCGGTACTGGATCATTGGTGAGTAAAAGTCCCTCCATTAGCTTACTCGGTTAGCATCTCAGTCAGCATCATGGACCAGTAAGAGGGGCATGGTAAACAACAGCATCTCTGGCCGCGTAAGCACCTCTTACCCATGTAAGAGGCAGTAAGCACGTATAGGGATGGTGATTTGCCCCGACCCGGTGGGGAACCCGGTTCACCGGACCCGAACGGGGATGGGGATTCCCCGCTAAAACGAGTCCCGGAGCCGAGGCGGGGGATCCCCGGTAGACTCAAACCGGGGCCGGGGAATGTTACTCAAACCGGGGCCAGGGTCGGGGATCCCCGGTAGACTCAAACTAAATGATATTTTTTATAAGGATTGACCAGGGTTTTACCGGGCTTTGACCGGGACGGGATGATAATCCCCGTACCCGCCAGGGACCGGGGTCGGGGGACGTTATTACAAACCGGGGCCGGGGCCGGGGATTACAAAACCCGCCCCATCCCCGCCCCGTTGCCATGCCTAAACACATAGTAAACATCCCCTAAATTGGTTTTCTAGTAATTTCTCTCTAGATTTACCCAAATGTCATTGTAACCACAAGTCTCACGTCCGGCACTTACGGACCTAGCTAGAAGAAAATAAAATAAAATAATAGACCTGCCCGTCGCAATTGCATACCTGGATCAAATCTGATAAATTTTTTTTCTTCTTTTAGCTGGGTCCACAAATGATAGACGTAAGATTTGCAAACATTATGATATTTGAATAAATCAAGAAGAAAATAATTAAAAAACCAATTTAGACAAAAGAAATAGCTTATTAAGGGGGTGTTTGGGATTGCTTATTTAAAACAACTTATGTTTTTTTGTAAAAGTGCTTATTAACTTATGCGGTATCAAACCGGAGTTTTATAAAAAGTGTTTGGATTAGCTTATAGCGGTACCAAACTGCAATAAGTTGATAAGTTGTTTTTTAGTGTTTGACAAATTTTGCTTATATCTGTAAAATGACCAAAAAGGACATTCTTCCATATTATTGACTTATGGGAGTGTTTGTGATTGCTTATTAACTTATTTGATTTTTTAACATGTAAAAAATTATTTTTCATCATTTATAATATATTTGAGAAAAATTTATATTAATAAGATTAATAATTTATATCAATAAGATTAATAATTAGCAAATATTTATACCAATACCATTAATAATTCAAGAAAAAAACATATTAGTGTTCATCTTCATCCTACAGTCATCTCAAAATAGCGTCGATGGTGCACCACCATCATCCGATAAATAGACCGCCACTTTGTCCGATGGGTAATCGAGCCCCATGGCGGACAACACCGTGTTCATCACCTCGACCGTGGGCTCCTTGCTGGGGTCGGCTGTGCATATGAAGACGTCTACGCTCGGCAACTCATCGTCATCCGGGAGATTATGAAGGGAGACGGTTCGTACCACTGGGCGCCACCTGAAGGCTTGGGTTAGGAACCAGATGAAGGAGATGATGAGCTCGGAAAGAGTTACGAAACCCCATGGAAGGGTGGGTACATCACCATATATTAGGTTGATGAACCTGTAGTATAGGATGGCTAATACGGCTGTTAAGTGGAAGAGCATGTGAAGTCTTTGGGCGATGAACACTAATATTTTTTTTCTTAAATATTGATTGTGGAACAAATGAAAAATTCTAAACGATGGAGGACGATGAATATCGATCTTTGTGTGAGGAGGAGGAGGAGGAGGAGGAGGAGGATGATGATGATGATGATGTTTGGATAGATTAAAAGTGGATAAATTAAAAGAGGGTTAAAATGGTAAATTGGTGATAAGTTGTTTTTCATAAGTCAATAAGGATTAACTTATCAAAAACTGCTTATTACCGGTTTGGCACCGGTATAAGCAGTTTTTTTTTTTTTACCCAAACACTCTAAAATGACTTATCTCCGGTGCCAGACTGAAATAAGTTAAAAAGCTGTTCCGATAAGCAATCCCAAACACCCCCTAATTATGATCAATATTTTATATTAGAAAACAATAAAAAATTTATCAAGTTGGAAACTTATTTATCTTCTTTTTCATTCATCTTTCTTTAATCTTTTTTTTTTAATTTCACATTCTAATTTCTATAAACATTGATTATTCATTTATGTTTGGATTTAACACAATCTTTTCATTTTCCCTAACTCTTTTTCATAAATTGTTCATCATTCAATCTCTTTTTCTCCATCTCCATCACTTGATTTGTTTTTCATTTCATTTTTCTCCATCTCCATCACTTGATTTATTTTTCATTTCATAAATTGTTATTTTTCAACAAATCTATTTTCAAGTTTATTTCGAGAAGACTAATTCAGGTATGCGTTCTTTTTTATTTTTGTTGGGATTTTAGAATTTTGTTTTTTTGTTTACTTTTCTCTTCTGTGATTTTCTTAAGTTTTCTCAATGAAACGGAGTGTTTGTTCTTGACAACACTTTTAGAGTTTTGATGGCAACAATGGTTCGATTAATCGTCTGATAATAGAATCTTGAAAGTATTACAAACCATGATGTAGCCTCAACAAATTTCAACATATTTTTGTAATGGTTATCTTTTTTCAAGTATAGTTTGAGAAAACTAATGTGTGTATGCATTCCTTTTGACTTTTATTGAGATTTTTGAAGTTTTTTTGTTACAATTTTTCATGTAGCATCACCAAACTTCAACATGCCCTTTTTAATGGTTACATTTTTTTTCAGGTTTATTTCGAGACTATTAATCCGAGTATGCAACTCTTTTTAATTTTGTTAGGATTTTAGAGGTTTTTTTAACTAATGTCTTCTACATTTTTCTTAAGTTTTTTTTTTCCCAATAGAATCAACAATATGTTTTTAGCAATTGTTTTAGAGTTTGGTTGACAACAACTATTCCTCATGGAATCTTGAGAAAC